AGGATAGGTCAACTACACCTTTGAGCTTGTTCTGCCATTCTGTTAAATCATAGCTGACCTGTTATATCAACTCCACTGTCCCATACGTTCCCATATTCCTCAGTACCCTATAGTCTATCAGCCCCGTCCTCGATATAATCAATATCCATATTCAAGTTCACAATCCTTTGCCCTCATCTCAATCCTAAACTGCCAACTCTTATTGTCAGATTGTGGCTTGAATTCCAGATTCACCAGTCAGGGGAAACATTTTTTCAACATCAACCCTGCCAAGACCCTTATGAATTTTCCACTAACAAGCCTGCCATTTGAATAACAACTCAAAAATTAGTGATTGTACAAGAAATATTGGAATATGCACAAGTAAGTGGATTCATTCATTCTAAAGGAGTCACATCACTTCACATCAATCTGGAAAAGAAATTACCAATATGACATAAGGCTTTTCTCTGCCGAAGCTTACAATCAAATTGACAGAAGTCTACAACTGCAACATACAGTATCAATGTTAGCAGGTTAATGATTTGTTTAAAAACCCACAGCAATTATAAGGGAGACAGTGCCATGGTGGTAACATCATTTGACTAGTAATTCAGACGTCACGCTAATACTTTGGGAATTCAAATGCTACCATGGCAGTGGAGAGAATTTAAATTCAATTATTAATTTCTAGAATTTAATGCTACTCAGTAATGGTGACCATGACAACCATCATCAATTATTATAAAGGTATGAGTCACCAATGTCCTTTAGGGAAGGAAATCTGCCATTTTATGTGGTCTGGCTTACATGCGACTCCAGATACCCTAGCACTTTGGTTAATCTTAACTGCCCTCTGAAATGGCCTAGCAAGCTGACTGTTCAAGGCCAATTTGGGAAGGACAACAAATGATGGCCTTCTCAGTGATGCCCATATACCAAGAAAGAATAAATGTTAAAAGTTCTACATTTTTCTTTAAAACCAATAGCAATCATAAGATACTATTGCCAAATCCCCACTATCAACATCCTGGGGCAAAAAGTCAGGGATGTGGTGGAATACCCTCCAACTGCCTGGAATGAGTGCAAATCTGCCAACATACAAAAAGATCAACATCATCCAGAACAAAGTAGCCCGTTTGAGTGGCAGCCCATTGAACACATTCAAAATTCACTCTTTCGATCATTGACATACAGTGGGAGCAGTACGTACTATCTAAAAGATGCACTCTAACAACTCTACAAAGGTCCTATGACTGCACCTTCAAAAAACTAGAAGGATGAGGGCTGCAGATGCACAGCAACATGAACGAGCCACACACATTTCCTGACCTGGAAATATATCACTGTTCTGTAGATGGGTCAAAATCCTGGAACTCCTTTCCTAACAGAATGGTGGGTACGCCCATACCATTTGGACTGGAGAAGTTGAAGGAGGCAGCTCACCAACACCTTCTCAAGGTCAATTGGGAATGTGGAATAAATGTTGACTTTGGCAGTAATGCCTACATCCCATGAATGAATATAAAAAATATAAAGGACTAAAGGTCAAAGTATACGGATCTTGTATTTTAAAAAACCATGTGTGATTTATAACATCAATTGACTCCTTCACATTTGAATTTTGCTCCATTTGCCTGATCATAGCTTTCTCGTTTTGTTGGGAAATCGTCATAGAGGCGTACAGCACGGAAACAGACCCTTCAGTTGAAATTATCCATGTTGACCAGACATCCCAATCTGACCTAGTCCCATATGCCTGCATATGGTCCATCTCCCTCTAACCCCTTCTAATTCATGTACCCATCCAGATGCCTTTTAAATGGTGTACTTGTCCTCGCTTTCATCACTTCCTCTGGCAGCTCATTCTGTATATGCACCATCCTCTGCATGAAAAAATTATCACTCAGATCCTTTTTAAATCTTTTCTCTCTCACCTTAAACCTATGCCCTCTAGTTTTGGACTCCCCCACCCTAGGAAAAATGCCTTGTCTATTCAGCCTATCCATACCACTCACGATTTTATAAATTTCTATAACATCACCCTTCAGCCTCTGACACTCCAGCAATAAAAGGTCCCAGCCTATTCAGCCTCCCCCATAGCTCAAATCCTCCAACCCCAGCAACATCCTTGTAAATCTTTTCTGCACTCTCTCATCATCCTCCCTATAGAAGGGCAACCACATTGTATGCAATATTCTAAAAGTGGCCTAACTAATATCCTGTACAGTTGCAACATGATGTCCCAACTCCTATAGTCAATGAAAACCAAAAGAACTGCGGATGCTGTAAATCAGACACAAAAATAGAAATTGCTGAGAAAGCTCAGCAAGTCTGGCAGCATCTGTGGAGAGAAATCAGAGTTAACATTTCTGGTCTAGTGACCCCTTCCTCTTAGGAAAGGTCACTCGACCCAAAACCTGCTGAGCTTTTCCAGCAATTTCTATGTTGGTCTCCTATTTTAAATGTTCTGACCAAAGAAGGCAAGCATGCCAAAAGCCTTCTTCAGAAGACTGTCTACCCCCCAGCTCCAGCATATAGAATCCCTACAGTGTGGAAACAGCCCACTTGGGCTAACAAGTCCACACTAACCCTCCAAAGAGCATCCCACCCAGAACCACTCCCCTACACTTTCCCTGTAACCCTGCATTTCCCATGGCTATCATGCCTGGCCTACACATCCCTGGACACTATGGGCAATTTAACATGGCCAATCCACCCATCCTGCACATCTTTGAACTGTGGGAGGAAACCAGAGCACCCAGAGGAAACTCACGCAGACATGGGTTAGAATGTGCAAACTCCACACAGTCACCAGCGGGTGGAATCCAACCTAGGTCCCTAGCACTGTGAGACAGCAGAGCTAACCACTGAGCCACCATTCCACTTTCAAGGAACAATGCACCTGCACACCTTGGTCTCTTTGTTCCACAGAGTCATACAGCATAGAAATAGGTCCTTCAGCCCACCATGTCTATGCCGACCAACAAACACCAAACTACACTAATCCCATACATCTGCACTTGCTCCAGAGCTTGCTATGCCCTGGCATTTTAAGTACTTATCCAGATGCTTCTTAAATGTTGCCTCTGTCACTGTCAGGCAGCATAGATCATAGAAACAGGCCCTTCCTCTGGGTAAAAAAATATTTTCTCAGATCTCCTCCAAACCATTTGTTCTTCACCTTAAATTTACACCCTCTGGTCTTAGACATGTCTGCCATGAGGAAGAGATTCTCACAATCTTCTCTGGGGGGTAGATTTTGTGTACGCCTCTCAGAATTTTATGTACCTCAATCCACTGAACTTCAACCACATGTCTGGCTTCATTCCCTAGGGCTAAGTTTAGCACTGTCCCATCTCTAGCAGGATTATCCACGTATTGGCACAAAAACCTCTCTTAGATGCACTTTAGAAATTCCACCCATGAATCTTTTCACACTAAGGCAATTCCAGTAAACATTAGCAAAGTTGAATTCCCATACAACTATAACCCTGCTTCTCGGGCACCTTCCTGTGATTTGCCTACATATTTGCTCCGCTATCGCCCTGAGACTGTTGGGAGGCTTATAGTATTAATCCCAGCAAGGTAATCACCCCATTTTTTGTCATTAGACAGGATCTGGCAAGACTACTTGCAGACATTTTCCACAATATTAAAAATTATATTCAAAAATGAATAGTCTCAACTCTACTTTCAGTTGATCAGTCTTATTATTGCAGAGTAGTACAAATATTGTAAACAGTTAAATTGTAATTGATACTTTTAAAAAAAATAGGTATGAATTTTAAACAAAGACAAAATAAATCTGTACTCAACACATTGTTATTTTATATCTGCTAAATATATTTATTCAGCTTTTCACTGCAACAAAAGGAGTACTTAAAACCATGAAATCCAAAAATGGAATTTCAACATTTCCACAGGAGGGAATTTTCAATATTTGAGCCACGTACTCTGCTGGCAATGAGAAGTATTTGTACAGTAGGGCAAAGCCCATTTACAAGTAGCTAACTTCATATAATTAAATGAAATTGCTGCTTTTGATCTTTCATGTTTATTGTACATCTAAGACTAAACTGAAAATGTCAGGCAAATAGGGTTTTAAGATTAGATATTTTAGATTGTTAAGCAGCTTTGTCCAACTACCTAAAAGAACACAGTCCATTTCCAAGCTACAGCCTGAATATTTATTTTACCCCTTCTTCTAGAGGAATACAGATAATAAAAGATAAATTATAATTGGCAACAGTAGGTTTCTCAACAAATCTCCGTGAGATGTGCAAAAAATTGGCCATATTAGCTAATATTTCAAAGTACACACATCGATATACTGCAAGTCTAACTTAGGAAAAGTTTGATTCCCTTGCAAATTTTGTCAGTTTACTTCATTATTCATTTAAGATTTGCTTGTAAATGTCTGAATTGCAACACTTCCGAAAAACTTCAATAAAGAAGCTTATGATCTAAATGAGACAGATTTGGGGCTGCAATACATGGTAGGAGGGAACTTGAATGCACTCAACACAAACCAGGAAGCACAGGATATAAATTCAAGTAAAACGCTTTCTGTTCCAACACCACCTCACAATAATTTTCTTTTTGTACTAATTAGGAAGCAAATGATTGTTCTGATCAATGAAAGCTGCCAAACAATTAATGACCAAAATATTTTCTAAAAACTTTTTTATCCTAAACCTCTGTTACCTCAAGTCTCCTATCTCAGGTACAAAACTTCTAAACTCCACACCAGCCCTTCCTGTGGGAAATGACTACACTGATTTCCTTCTATGATGTGCATAATTTGTGCCTATCAGCCATTAGCCAATTTCTTTTCAAACTTGGCTACTACCTGGCAGATAGTAATGAGGTCTAGCAATGAAAAGCATCTGAGACTTTCGGGGAAACCTCCAAGTCTCCCGGGGTTTAGATTTGAGAATCAAAATTTGTACTATTGTCAAAATATTTTATATCTGCATTGGATCATAGAGTTCTTTGGAACTTAGCGCTTTTAAAATTACCTCTAAATCATCCAAGGACCGGGTTATACTGAAACGCTTCGATCTCCCATACGATCGCCGAACAGAAGAACGCTGGGGAGCTTGAGGGAATCCAACTGAATTCCCAGAAAACTTTGTGCCCTGAAAAATTAAACAAAAAATGATATCAGTTTTATACTTTAATTGGTAAAATTGAAAACAAAACTTTCACAATAAATTAGTTGAAGAATACATTGCATGAAACAGACCATGAAAATGAAGGTTAAAAGCAAAATACTGCAGAGAGAGAAGCAGAGTTAATGGCTCAGACATTCCAGCGGCCAGATAGTCATTTCTGCAGCATGGACTGGAGTTACACATCAGAACTATGTAGAAATCCCGACACAAGAAAATCTCTGCACAGGTGGTTTAAAATTCCAATGGGATATTATCTTAAAAAGGCCCTTAAGAGTCATACAGTTTGAGGGTTTCAACATAATGAAAATTAGTACTTACTCAGGAAAAGTTAGAGAATCAAAAACCTACTCTAACTCCCAGGTAAACTATCAAACTGAGTAACTGACACAATATGGATCTTCTCAACTATAAATTCTGTGACCCTCTTCCATGCCCTGACCCTAACACCTCATACTCAACGTGATCCAAAACCCCTTCCTCACTGAATCACACTCCTGCCCAACACCTTACACACAATCTGGCCTGATATGCTCTTGGCCTCAACCAAATCCCCACCTGTCGACAATCTTTACAGCCCAACCTAACATCCACACATCCGAACACCTCCTTGCTCCAATGAAACATCTCCATGTAGTTACACGTAGGCCAGACCAGGTAAGGATGGCAGATTGCCTTTTCTAAGGAACACAGTGAACCAGATGGACTTTTCCTGACAATCAACAGTGGTTACATGATCGCTATTAGTTTAGATTTTTTCTTCCAGGTCTTTGTTGAAATCAAATTTTTACCATCTGTGATAAAAACTGAAAGAACTGCGGATGTTGGAAATCAGAAACAAAAACAGAAATTGCTAGAAAAGCTCAGCAGATCTGACAGCATCTGTGGAGAGAAATCAGAGTTAACGTTTCAGGTTATCCACAATTACCATCTGTCATGATAGGATTTAAACCTATGCCCTCAGAACATTTGTCTGGAATTCCGGATTACTAGTCTAGCGATCCCTGCATCACCTACGACACATCCCTCTATCCTCAACTTATCCTAAACACTTGTCCACATATCTAGTACCCGCCAACTCATCCACTTGCCACCCTAACCCATTTGCCAATCCACTGCCATCCTAGCCCCTAATCCATAGTGCCACCATAAACATTCATCCACCTGTCACCCTAACTTACCTGACATCTGTCTGGAACCTTTTTATTTAATTATTCGTTCTTGGGTTTTGGTGATGCTAGTGAGGCCGGCACTTATAATCATCCCTAATTGCCCTAATGAAGCTGCCTTCTTGAACTGGTGCAGGCTTTGGGGTGTAGGTATATCTACAGTGCTGTGTGGAAATAAATTCCAGTATTATGATCGAGTGAGCGTGAAGGAATTGTGATGTAGTGTGTAGGTGGGGAATCTGTAAGTGTTGGGATTCTCATGTACCTCCTAGGTGGTGAAAGTCATAGGTTTGGAACAAATGGATTCAGAGGGTGCCTTGATGTGTTACTGTAGTGCATCTTGAAGTTGATACTCACTTCTACCACTGTGCACATATGGTGAGGGAAGTGAATACTGAAGGTGGGGGAATGAAATGCCATTTTAAGTAAGCTGCTTTATCCTGTAAAGTGTCAATATTCTTGTGTGCTATTGGAGGTGAACTTACTCAAGCACTCTATTATCCTTGTACTGCTCTACTCTTCTCACCAAACAGGCACTCTAATCCTCAACTACTTGCCACCCTAACACTTTCAGCTGGTCTAACGTTATGCACCTGCCACCCCCTAACCCCTCAACCATCTGTCACCTCTGCATTCCCTTACCCTCCTTAAACGATCTCCCACACCTACCTTAAATATTTGCCCTTTCACAGAAGCCGTGAAAGTTGCTGGTCACGTGGCTAGACATTTAAATTTTAACATTGACTGCTGCAAAAAAACGGAGTGGGTTCTACACTGAATCTACCCACTGCTGCATTCCAGGACAGCTCGTCCACTGGGATGGAACAGATTCTGTCCAAGAATCTCCAGCACAGAAATGATCACAAAGTAAATAAGTTAAAGGTTTCGCTCACGGGATGTGGCATTCCTGGCTAGGCCAATATTTATTACACATCCCTAAATGCTTAGAGGGTAGTTATGAGACAACCACATTGCTTGTGGTCTGAGTCATATGTATGCCTGACCAGGTAAGGATGGTAGATATCCTTCACTGAAGAACATTAGTGAACCAGATGGGTTTGAAAATCGACAATGGCTACATAGTTGCCAGGTATATAGGACCTCAGTGAGACAGACATAAAAAGATTCTGTGGCAAGACATCGAACTTTTATCCCTCAAACAATGTCACAAGAACAGATTTTGCACTTGTCGCTCTGATTATATAGTGTTTCTCCTGCTCTATTAAATTTCTTATCCAAACACTCCCCCTCAGAGAGGGAGGTGATGGCCTAGTGGTATTATCACTGGACTGTTAATCCAGAGACCCAGATAACATTCTGAGGACCTGGGTTTGAATCCCACCACGGCAGATGGTGGAATTTGAACTCAACAAAATATCTGGAATTAAGAATGTAATGATGACCATGAATCCACTATCAATTGTCTGGTTCACTAATGTCCTTTAGGGAAGGAAACTGCTGTCCCTACCTGGCCTGGTCTACGTGTGATTCCAGACCCACAGCAATGTTGTTGACTCTTAACTGCCCTCTGGGCAATAAATGCTGCCAATGAATAAAAAAAATTATTTTGTGCTTCCACAAGACTGAAATGGTTGGTAATTTAGAAGCTTTAGAAAGGATTCAGAGACAGAACATTAAACTAATTGCTGGATAAAAGCATTTTTATCAGGATAAGCTAAAACAGCTGGAAATCTACACATTAGGAAAGTTAGATTTATGGATGTACAGTTAGATCAAGATTCATAAGAATCATAAAATCATAGTAGATAGTTTATTCAAATAATTAGGTTAGGAAGGACCAAGATTCACAATTTTAAGTGATATATGACTAGATCTGGAATCCGTGTCACAAGTTGACTCGTTTTCCAGAGAATAGTAAACCTTTGAAACAGGCTATCATCTTGAGTGGTGAACAGCAGATGGCTGCATTTCTTCAAGAAAGAGCAAGTCTCTTTCTGGTTGTGGTGGATATCACATTGTAAGAAGGATAGGTGATGCTTAGAACGATCAGATTCAGGGTGATCTCCTGAACTAGTTTCAATTGTTTGGACATACCAAAAGGCCTTTTCCAGTCCGTTATTGTTTGAATGTTTGTAATTTTAATATCTACATTCTCGTACCGATTAGAAATGGATTGATTTCTCTCTACCATGCCTCATTCCTTCATAATTTTAAATGCCTAAATCAAATATTCTGTAATCTGCTCCATTCTGAAGAAACAGCCCAATTTTCTCAAAGAGAAACATATACTATCAAGTAATAAGGCCACAAAAAGCATTGTACCTGAAGTACAAAATAGAGCTAGCAGGTCTCCTGAGAAAAATATATAAAGATTAAAAAACTGAGAAAGTTAAATGCAAATGAGAAATACCAGAATAAGTGTCCAGCATTTCTTTAGATATATTTGATTTCACCAAGTTCATGTAAATTGATTTGAAGCTGAGGAAGTTAGGGAATACAATTCTAAATTTAAGTGGACAACTTTGAAGAGCATTTAAAAGAATCAGCAAAGTCAATCATATTTTAACAGATCCATATGAAAAGTAAAAATCTAATAACTTTAAAGATAGCTTTAGATACAAAGGGGAAAATAGCCAGCATGTACTGAACACTTTGCTTTTGTTACTTTAATTCCCAGAGAAGAATTTAAAAGGGCATATTTTAAATGTTATGATTATTTTACACTGTAGTGTTGATGTGCAATGGCATGCTAAGGTGCAGGTTCATACTTGCTACTCCCCAGACAGCATATTTACAACCTTACCTGAACATAGAGTTTAATTTGGATAAATGCAAGGTTTTGCATTTTGGTAAAACAAACAAGGGCAGGATTTATTTACCTAATGAGTAGTCTTTTGGAACAGAGCGAGCTACAGGTTCAGGTACATAATTCTTTAAAATTTGCATCACAGGTTGACAAGGTCGTTAAGAAGGCATTTAGCATGCTTGCCTTCGTTGCTCAGACCTTTGAGTACAAGAGTTGGGATATCATATTGAATTTGTATAGGACATTGATAAGGCCTCTTCTGGAGTACTGTGTGCAGTTCTGGTCGCCCTGTTATAGGAAGGATTTATTGAATTGGAAAAGGATCAGAAAAGATTGTTGCCAGGAATAGAGGGTTTCAGTGATAAAAATAGGCTAGGACTTTTTTCACTGGAGCGCAGGAGTTTGAGAGGTGATCTTATGGAGGTTTATAAAATCATGATGGGCAAAGATCAGGTGAATAGCAAAGGTCTTTTCTCTAAGGTGGGGGAGTTCAAAACTAGGGGAAACATTTTTAAGATGAAAAGAGAACGATTTAAAAAGGACATGAGGGGCAACTTTGTTACACAGAGAGTGGTTAATGTGTGAACTGAACTACCAGAGGAAGTGGTGGATGTACAGTTACAACATTTAACAGACATTTGGATAAGTACATGAATAGGAAAGGTTTGGAGGGACATGGGCCAAATGCAGGCAAGTGGGACTAGTTTAGTTTGGGCACATGGTCGGTATAGACTAGTTGGACTGAAGGGTCTGTTTCCATGCTGTATGACTCAATGACTCTATAAGGAAAATATTTGTACAGAGACTGGGGGAAACAAAGTGAATGCAACCTACACTTGGAAGACCATTATCAAAAATTACTGAAAATTGCCTGTCCAGTGTCTCCAGTTTGACTAATGCATGCCTTCTGAAAGAAACAAAATTCTATGCAAAATGAGTACTGACTTTTTAATTGATGTGAATGCTTGGTCAAATTACGTTGAACAATTTAGTGAACAAATTTCAGCTTCTACTTGACACACGACAACCAG